GCTCCATGCTGCAAAATCCCCTCAGGCAAGCGATCACCGAACGATGAACTGGAACATAACATCATTGTAGTACTTTCACCAGGACGATCCCGTTTTCTATTAAAATCTTTCTTTGGTGGCTGCCCACTGATAAGGCAACATTTTACTCTTTCCTTTTCTGTACCGGTATATACAACGAACATAATTACTCACATCATCACTGGCCAGTAAAACCGTCTGGCTAGATGGAAACCCTCTCCTTCATTGGCAATGTTTATCTGTTTCAGACTTAAATGGAGCAAGGGCCAAAATGCCCACAGCCTATAGGACGGGCACGCTAATCATTTCAGCTTAAGTCCGGCGTATGAAATACTTCAGCGTGGCTGCCCGGGTGGCTCTCAGCCCACAGCCCACTCGGTAAATGCATGGCGCTTGCTTCTCCTTTGCTAACAGGTCTCTCTGCTGTAAGACAAACAGAGACAGCACCCGCTACCTTGGAGCTGCTGACACGCTGGAAGTTCATAACCCAGCCCATACCTTCACGTTGCTGTCTGCATAGCTGGAGCCCTCAAAAAACAGCTGCACGAGTCGAAACGGTTGTTTCGGCTCATCTGAAATTCTTTCTGATCACAACCAACACCGTCCCTCACTGTGGAAACACGCTCACGGGTCAGAGACTCGCCTCTCCGGCAGCGGCGGAAAGCCTGGTAGTGACTGAAAAGGGCTTTAAATGTAACAGCGGGCATACAGCCCTTATGCACCAGCTGACGCTGGTTCAGTAGGTAAAGTCTTTCTGAAAGTATTCAAATAACGTATTCAAGTTGGAAGAAACAACCAGAAGCTGACTACCAGGAGGACTGAGTCATACTACTTGGAGGTGACCTGCAAGGCTACTGAATGACAGAAGAACGCCAGGAGGACGCGGTGCCAGCACCCAAGCAGCGGCCAGGAGAGCGCTCCGGGTGCCGAGCGTGCCTGGGTGCCTCCCTGCTTAGCATCACGCCGGTGCCGACCCGCTGGCGTGCTGGCACGCAGCGGCGCAGAGGCACGGGGCGCGTGAAACCTGATAGGCAGCGTTCGCCCTGCTCAGCGAGCACGCTGCTGCCTTCTGCACGAGCTGGAAGGGGCAGGGG